AATAATTTAGCAACGAGTTTGTACAAAACTGTCAGCATCGAATTACAATTAAAATGTGCATTATAACTTACATTAAATTATAATACACTTTCAAAGAAAATTTCGACAAAATGTTGAAAATTTTGTTAATATGTCGGAATTGTCAAAATAAATAAATACAATAAATATTAACTAAGGAGAAAAATAAAACTATTAACTTGTATGTTCACTTAAATACCTGTAAACAGTTTGTTATTACTAAGAATAGTATTGTTTGTACCACAATATTATATTCTTAGCAATAATTTATAGTTTTTCGTAGAACTTAGGCTGTATTATTTTCTAAAACCTGTTTATTCGAAATATAGGTTTATAATTTTGAATAAATAGATTGTATTACTTCAGTATGAGTTGAGAAATTATAACAGATTTCCTACTACTGTATTTCCTATTAAGGATAAGATGCAGTGGAAAAGCCAAAATATTATTGACATTGAAAACTGATATATTATTAAAATTAAGTATCGAGAAAAAGTTTACTATAGTATTTTTTAAACAGTAACGTAAATTATAACAGATGAAAAATTGCTTTTAACGTTGTCAATTAGCTGCATTTTACTTCCCAGGCTTTTATACAGGGTATACCGTCAAGACCGAATAAACTCTGCATAGCGAGAATCTTCGCTCGGATACATAAAAATGTCCAAGGAACCATATCTCTACGATCCACAGTTTTCGAGAAAAACGAGAAAGAAAAAGTATAATGTCACACCCGGTGCATGGAAAATAAGCTTTATTGGAAACATGAACAATGGGACTTGCATATGACATTGTTTTTACATAAGAAGATGTTTAAAATGAGGCATGCATGAGCAGTTATTCTACGGTGTACATATGTATAATTATATCAATAATACCCAGGTGGCCAGACGTGGGAGTCCAGTTGTGTGGCTGCCACGATCGCCAGATCCAAATCCAAAAGTATTAAAAAAAATCCCGTAGGAAAAAATCCAAAGGTGTCAGACCTTTGGATTTTTTTCTACGGGTCCATCTGAAGGAATTGGTATATCGAACACCAGTAGAAAGCGACTTAGTTGTTCATCTTCATGCTTCGTTCACTTAGGTGGACAACACGATGCTACATCGTGTGCAGTCAGCCATTCGTGTGTATTTTTAACTATAACTTAAGTTTTGTAACGTTTTTACAACCAGATTGATGTAAAATAAAGACGACGATGAGGGACATATAACCCGAAAATCATATCAACCAGAATTAACAATCAAATTCATTTGTATGTAAATTTTACTATCGATTTACTGTATATCGATTTACTATATATGAAAAATATCTAACATATGCTATTTTATTGCAGATTCGTTTTTTTAAATTTGAAGTGTAAATATTCAATTAATTTTATTAATTATCGGCGCTTCATGCTGAGTCATGGTAATAAGATAGCCGAACAACTCTACTATATACTGTACACCCAAATCTTATGAAAATTGTGATGCGCTTCACGTTTCGCCCACACCCAGGGAGTTCGCAGAACACAGGCATTGTGGAAATCCCCGAAACGAACTCGTATAAATCAGTCGATTTCTTGTTAATACTGTTTTTTCGAATTTTATTTTTCGAAATATTATATTGATACATACTAAATCTAAATTATCTAAATTTATACCAAAAAAATTGAAATTAACTGTATTTGTTACACTAATTTAAATTTCAAGGGAAATAATAACGAGTTTAAATAATTCAAATATCCTATAATTCGAATTAATTAGGCTCGACTATAATATATATTATTAAAAAGAAATTTTTATATATAAATAAATTTTTGCAGATCTTGGGAACTTCTTTCTATTAACATTTTTGAATGGTTTAAGCGAAAAGAGTATAAAAACTTTAACTGAATAAGTGTTTAATTCATTGTTTATTGTACCAAACAAAATTAGCTTTACAATAATTAAGTATATAATATAATGTATCGATATATTATCTACTAATATAATACTGTATTCTATGTCCGTATACCTGTGGCTCTATCCCACCAATACCACTGAGTTTCTATATCAACCGCATTCTAATTCAAATTTTTCTTTTAATAATCGTAAAATTTTAACGGTTAATCGTTTAGCAGTTATGTTTATAATAATTTTTTTAGTTTTTCATTCATTTATATTCAAGAATTGGCTTTGTGGCAAAGTGTTTTGATATTAACTCGTTATATAAACCTGAAATTAAGTTGAAATTTGGTACACAGTTAGGATACGTCATGAGAATGTACACTAAGAAAGAATTTTTCGAAATTCCCCCGTGGGGAGAGGGAGAGGATTATGTATTATCCTGAAGAACTGGGCTTCTACTGTACTATTTTCGATGCGTTTTTTGCGGGAAATCTGTATATATAATTCGAGATGGGTTGGTGATAATAACAATAATAATAATTTATATATATATAATCGAGATAGATTGCGAAAAACTGAACATATTTTTAGACCCATCTAAAAATTCTCTAATTAGCCTGGGGAGAGGGGGAACCTAATTCTTGTACCCATTGAAAACGGGTAAGATCAGGTATGTAAGATAATCTTTGTAGTTATATAAACCTAACTGTATAATATAATACAATAGAAGTGTTAGAAGCACGAAATTAACTAATCTTAATGTTTGTTGTCATTTTTTGCCCGGGCTTACCTGCTAGTAAATATAATTTTTACAATTGTCTATTTTAACGTAGTTCTCTGCATAATGACAGTAGTTATATAAATTTCCAAAAAAAAATTATAAAATTTTTTTATTATTATATAAAAGTTTCTAACTAATTTATAAAAAAAGTCCAACTAAAATTTTCCACGAAAAGGTCCACGAAAGTCCTTGACATCATCATTGAACGATCTGTGACGTCAAAGGACAATGGCATCCTTACACCTCTGCGATAACCTCAAGTTCAATATTAATGCCTTAGTTATAAATTCTATTTTTAGTTCAGAATTAAAATAATTGACTTTTTGCTGTATGATTTAATTATCTACTCAAATGATCTTTTTTTTTTCTCTGTTTTCTGTAGTATTGTGAAATATTTTAATAGAGTCCTAGATAGGTAATGTTGTTTATCTTTATGGGTATTTTTATCTGAAAGAACTGCCCGTTGGTCTGCTTTTATGATCTTTTTTTTTTCTCTGTTTTCTGTAGTATTGTGAAATATTTTAAATAATCTAAAATAACTTCATATTTAATAAAATTAATTTAAATCCGTTCAAAATAATACATTACTTATTGTAGAATACAGTATACCAATTAATTGTTGAGACTATTAAAATCTATTGTTCCAATAGAAGTTGAAGTGTAGCCAAGATACTGTAGATTTATTATCGCTATGAACAAGAATATAAAAATAACCTTTATTATTTATAATCATCTTTAATTTTTGTCTGAAAATTCATTAATATTATCATTAACTTAGCTTCATATTAAACTGGTTTTTCACGGTTAGTAGTAGGCCTATAGGTAATTTGTACAAGTACATTACATATAGGCCTAATTAATTATAGAATTTTGACAGAATTTTGGCTCCTTTTCTTAGAAAAGAAAAATTTAATCGGATTTAACATGTAATTAATTTTAAAAAAAATACATTTAACAAAATAAAATATTTTTATATATCAGTTGCGATAAATAATACAACTGACAATGTTATTTTAAGGAAATAAATATAAAATTTATTCAAATATTTCGTCGTCATGATTTTACAATTTTAACGTGTTTAATATTCATAAACATATTATTTTACTACACATTTTAGAAAATTTTTTTGCTATCTTATTGCTCTTACAAGTTATAATATTTAATTTTTTTTTTAAATGTATTTTTATGTAGTAAATACAGCAAAAATGCCTAAGAAATTCGTCTTAAAATATGACACAACGCGTATTTAAATTTTCCACACTTTACATACATTTAAATCACGATTTACGAAGGAAATAGTGAATATTTATGATTCTATTTCTAGCTCTGACGTCAATTGTGATCTTGTTTGTTATTGGACTTTTCTGCTGTGTTAGCGAGTACATTTGCATAAGTATTTAATAATGATTCAGTGATTTGTAATTANTCATCTGTTTTTAAAATTATTATTTAAATCATTTAATGATTTATATACATTGAATTGGATACTAATTTCATCATAATTATTTATATTTTGTTAGTATTTTTAAATCAAGGTATTTACATAATACAAGTATACCCCCGTATAACACTGTAGATAATTCCGTATTATATGAATTCCATATTGTACGAGTCACTTAGATTTTACAAATACGTGAGCCGTTCACAGCCCGGTACACGTATTTGTAAAATTTAAGTGACTCGTACAATATGGAATTTATATAACACGGAATTATCTACAGTGTTATACGGGGGTATATTGTATTATATTTTTTTACGTCTTAATTTTAAAAATTATTAGATGATCGAATATATATATATAGGCCTATATATTTAAATATAAAGTTCTATTTTGATATAGAATTTGGTTTCTTTCTCAATGAAAAGTTTAAATAAAATTCCAAAAATATTATTCTTATATACTTATAGGCCTATATAAATAAATGTTATGATTTTTTCAAATTAAACACACTAAATCTTGAATTAAACTATATTATATTTTAATTTTTCCGTAAAATTTATATAAATTTTCTCATTTTTTAATCGAAATTTTAAATATTTTTATATTTAAATTTATAACAATTCCAATATACTGATATAAAACATTGTTTTAATAACTAAACACCTAAAAATTACTATAATTAAATAAATTTATTAATGAAATTAATTCTTATGTGATTATAATCTCTAATTCCGTATATGAATAAAAAAGAAATATTTTTTTTTCCAGGTTTTACGTAGTTCTACTCCAACGTCAAGGACGAACTCGTTAAATTTCAAAACACGAATAAAGGAATGAGAAGTGGTAGTCTCGATTGCGTGAGGTCATATCAACTGGAATAGAGAGGCATTGATGTACCTGCAGAGAAACTTATCCCTTGCTTTTAGTCGTTTGGGAGGATGCATTGGTCGACATCCTCTATGGTTCATTTTCATTCCTCTTATTATAACCGCACTATCATCAATAGGATTTGTAAGAATTTCTATGACAAGCGATTTGCAATATCTTTTGACACCCATAAATGGAAGATCTAAAATTGAAAAAGAAGCTATCCAATCAATCTTTCCCGAATCTAAAGATTTCCCAAGATTAACCGATTTTCCCAGATGCGGCTTTGTAATTTTAGTCGCTAAAGATGGTGGATCCATGTTACGCGAATCCATTATGGATGATGTGTTTGCGCTGGATGAAATGATAAGGAATATCAGTTTACGGCACGATAATCGTACTATAAAGTATTCTGATATTTGTTTAAAGACAGAAGGTGGGAGATGTTTTAGTAATAATGTTTTATCACTTCGAGGAAACATTGGGAATATGGCAAGAGGAACGTTTAAAGTCAAGTAAGTGTGACTATGAATTTCGCATAGTTTTCATTAAAATATTTTAATAATTTACAAAAATTATATTATGTAAAATAGTGTATTTTATGAATACTTCTCATCTTTCATTAACATATACATATTTTTTTAAATCTTGATTATCTTTTATCGTTCTTACCATTTATCGTATTTTAAATTTCCATGCTTTTGATTGTTAAAATGTTGTTTACGCTTGTTCTTCTGATAGGCTACTCTTAATTTTTCATCACATTATTTTAAGTAACATTTTTACATGCTTATTTTACTATATATATTTAATTAATTGTTTTTTTAACATCCTTCTACTCTTATTTTTACATTTAATTTTAGTTTTTCAGTCTGTCTATCTATTTCTTGAAATTTATATAAAAGTAAATTATGTTATCAAGTAATATTAAAATTTTTATAACTAAAGATATTTTTATTTTATTATATATTGTATAAGTAAAGTTAATTTTATCGTTTCAAGGTATCCCATATACGTAGATCCTCTGACCTCCTATCTAACAATTTACGCATATAACTTAGGTGGAGTAACTACGGACGATGATGGATACGTAAAAGAAGTTAAAGCTATAAGATTACTTTATACTTTAGAAAGCAACAATGTGACAAATTTCGACGTAGCAATAAAATGGGAAGATACTTTCTTACAAGAAATGGCAAAAACGGATTTTAAAAACATTTTAGTTTTTCGATTTGTAAGAAAATCGTGGGACGAAGAAACTAGTAAAATTACAGAATCTGCTTTACCTGTACTTGTAGTAGCTATTATAGTTATGGTAGTTTTCGGTGCTGTATCATGCATGACAACAGATTGGATTACAAGCAAACCACTATCAAATCTAGTGTTTTCCTTCGAAAAGTTGAACTGTAGCCAAGTTATCGTTGTATGTATCAGTATAAAAATAACTAATCGTTGTTTATAATTATGTTAAACCATTACCTAGAAAATTCTTAAATTTATCATTAGCTTAATTTCATATTAAACTGGTTTTTATGCATATCTAGTCAATTATTTTAACTCAATATCCTATTCTACTTATTGAATTTTTTACACAGTTTTGACTTCGTTCTTTTCATTTTTAGAGAAATAAAATAAAAATCTATGAAGCGAATTTTACCATAAAAATTATAATAATTGTATAAGTAAATTTATGATATATTTTAAACTAAAAAAATTTTTATGATATCCTTGACATATTTCTACGTTAAAAAAACATATATCACGTTAAATTATATATTAAAAAACAAAGCAATTAATTAATATATAATTAATAAAAATAAATGGGATTATATTAAATAATACGGATTTTTATAATTTTAAATAAATAAATATAGAAAATTATATGTACAGTACATATTAATTATTATTTAAAGGAAGTAAAATACATCGAGGAAAATATAAATGAAACACCGCATAAAATATTAATATGTTAACATCATACGAGTATATAACATTTACATGTGTTCTTAGAATAAATTAAACTTGTTTATTTTAATTAATTATAATTTTGTGGATTGGAAAATTTATTCTTAATCATCTTTTCAAAATTTTTAACTTCTATGTAACATATGAAATCACGAATTTCAAACAGGATCTACAAGACAGAACATACGAAAGTAATTCTAATATAGGATTTTTAATATTCATCTGTTTTTAAAATTATTATTTAAATCATTTAATGATTTATATACATTGAATTGGATACTAATTTCATCATAATTATTTATATTTTGTTAGTATTTTTAAATCAAGGTATTTACATAATACAAGTATACCCCCGTATAACACTGTAGATAATTCCGTATTATATGAATTCCATATTGTACGAGTCACTTAGATTTTACAAATACGTGAGCCGTTCACAGCCCGGTACACGTATTTGTAAAATTTAAGTGACTCGTACAATATGGAATTTATATAACACGGAATTATCTACAGTGTTATACGGGGGTATATTGTATTATATTTTTTTACGTCTTAATTTTAAAAATTATTAGATGATCGAATATATATATATAGGCCTATATATTTAAATATAAAGTTCTATTTTGATATAGAATTTGGTTTCTTTCTCAATGAAAAGTTTAAATAAAATTCCAAAAATATTATTCTTATATACTTATAGGCCTATATAAATAAATGTTATGATTTTTTCAAATTAAACACACTAAATCTTGAATTAAACTATATTATATTTTAATTTTTCCGTAAAATTTATATAAATTTTCTCATTTTTTAATCGAAATTTTAAATATTTTTATATTTAAATTTATAACAATTCCAATATACTGATATAAAACATTGTTTTAATAACTAAACACCTAAAAATTACTATAATTAAATAAATTTATTAATGAAATTAATTCTTATGTGATTATAATCTCTAATTCCGTATATGAATAAAAAAGAAATATTTTTTTTTCCAGGTTTTACGTAGTTCTACTCCAACGTCAAGGACGAACTCGTTAAATTTCAAAACACGAATAAAGGAATGAGAAGTGGTAGTCTCGATTGCGTGAGGTCATATCAACTGGAATAGAGAGGCATTGATGTACCTGCAGAGAAACTTATCCCTTGCTTTTAGTCGTTTGGGAGGATGCATTGGTCGACATCCTCTATGGTTCATTTTCATTCCTCTTATTATAACCGCACTATCATCAATAGGATTTGTAAGAATTTCTATGACAAGCGATTTGCAATATCTTTTGACACCCATAAATGGAAGATCTAAAATTGAAAAAGAAGCTATCCAATCAATCTTTCCCGAATCTAAAGATTTCCCAAGATTAACCGATTTTCCCAGATGCGGCTTTGTAATTTTAGTCGCTAAAGATGGTGGATCCATGTTGCGCGAATCCATTATGGATGATGTGTTTGCGCTGGATCAAATGATAAGGAATATCAGTTTACGGCACGATAATCGTACTATAAAGTATTCTGATATTTGTTTAAAGACAGAAGGTGGGAGATGTTTTAGTAATAATGTTTTATCACTTCGAGGAAACATTGGGAATATGGCAAGAGGAACGTTTAAAGTCAAGTAAGTGTGACTATGAATTTCGCATAGTTTTCATTAAAATATTATAATAATTTACAAAAATTATATTATGTAAAATAGTGTATTTTATGAATACTTCTCATCTTTCATTAACATATACATATTTTTTTAAATCTTGATTATCTTTTATCGTTCTTACCATTTATCGTATTTTAAATTTCCATGCTTTTGATTGTTAAAATGTTGTTTACGCTTGTTCTTCTGATAGGCTACTCTTAATTTTTCATCACATTATTTTAAGTAACATTTTTACATGCTTATTTTACTATATATATTTAATTAATTGTTTTTTTAACATCCTTCTACTCTTATTTTTACATTTAATTTTAGTTTTTCAGTCTGTCTATCTATTTCTTGAAATTTATATAAAAGTAAATTATGTTATCAAGTAATATTAAAATTTTTATAACTAAAGATATTTTTATTTTATTATATATTGTATAAGTAAAGTTAATTTTATCGTTTCAAGGTATCCCATATACGTAGATCCTCTGACCTCCTATCTAACAATTTACGCATATAACTTAGGTGGAGTAACTACGGACGATGATGGATACGTAAAAGAAGTTAAAGCTATAAGATTACTTTATACTTTAGAAAGCAACAATGTGACAAATTTCGACGTAGCAATAAAATGGGAAGATACTTTCTTACAAGAAATGGCAAAAACGGATTTTAAAAACATTTTAGTTTTTCGATTTGTAAGAAAATCGTGGGACGAAGAAACTAGTAAAATTACAGAATCTGCTTTACCTGTACTTGTAGTAGCTATTATAGTTATGGTAGTTTTCGGTGCTGTATCATGCATGACAACAGATTGGATTACAAGCAAACCACTAGTTGGAGTCTGCGGTGCATTATCCCCTGGTATTGGTGTAATTGCCGCATTTGGGTTTTTACAAATTGTAGGATCCGAATATGTAGACCTGAACATTGCAGTGCCATTTTTAATGTTGGGTAAGTTAAAAATAGTTACATTGTTTACAAATGTTGAAATATACAATTATTTACGTTTAAAAATACATTATAACTAACCTACAAAAGTATTCACTATAGTAATAAAATTTTTTAAATATGCACAAGGTTCTTTGTTCTATGATCTGTTAACTTTTTAACATTTCTTTTACTTTTATTTGGTTATAAAAATGCATTATTATTATTATTTTTAAATGTCTTACACTAACCACAACAGATACAGATTGTAACACGTATATTTCCATTTTGGGTTTTATTAGTTCCTATTCACTCCGAAAGAATAAGGAAATTAAAGATAGTTGTTTATCTATTTTAGTAACTAGGTCACTACATTACTTTCACTACTATCTGTTCGACTCTCACTGCTTAGCATTGACCTATTCTTGACAGACTAGTAATTTCTACCTGGTTTTACTTTATACAGAAGATTAAGTAACCTTGAACTATTTAAATATAGCGATTCAAAATTGAAGCTATCATCCAGGTAAAGAAGCTAATGAACTTCTTCATTACCTTCTTCACCTGGATGATCGCACGTAGATTATTCATTATCACTTGCTTCAACGAGCATCTTTGCCATTTTTTTAAAGCTTAAACTGCAAAAATGTATTCTCTACGTCTTATGTTCTGAGTTTAAATTTATATTTTAGTTATAAAAAAAATAATAATTTAAATATAAAATTTTGTAGTAAGAAAAACACTTTTAAACTTATATTTCTGCTCTCGTAAAATATTAATTTTTATATAATTTTTATATTTTTATAGCATTTAAGATAAATATAAATAATTTTATATAAATAAATATTAA